GGCCAGCCTGGGCTACCAAGTGATTTCCAGGAAAGGCGCAAAGCTACACAGAGAAAGCCTGTCTCGAAAAAACAAAACAACAACAACAACAACAAAAAAAAAAAAAAAAAAAAATTCATGCACGGATTTTGAGTTTCTTTTTTATTAAAAGTCCAAGAATGATCTGGGCATGGAGGTGCACGCCTTTAATCCCAGCACTCAGGAGGCAAAGGCAGGTGGATCTCTGTGAGTTCGAGGCCAGCCTGGTCTACAACAAGAGTTCCAGGTCAGCCAGGGCTACACAGAGAAACCCTGTCACGGAAAACAAAAAAATAAATAAGAAAAGCCCAAGGGTTTTGAGGTTCAGGCTCTCCCCACTTCCCCCGAGACATGGTTTCTCTGTGTAGCCCTGGATGCCTTGAAACTCTCGTTGTAGACCAGGTTGGCCTCAAACTCACAGAGACCCACCTCCCTCTGCCTCCCAAGTGCTGGGACTAAAGTTGTGCACCATTACTGCCAGGCTCATAGTCTTTATAAGCTGCTCTTCATCATGATAACATTATGCAACAAAGCCATAAGCCTCAGTAGCACAGAACTAAAACACTGCTCAGGCTGAAATATTCCACTTTGTCTGATGTTGTAAAGTTGCTACAGACATAAATTCTTTCAAGTCTATCATTTTTAAGAGTGCAAAGAACCTTAGTTCAGAGATATTTCGTGTCTGCAGTTTAATCAAGGTGACAGAACCAGCCCTCCTTCACTGTTTTGCCAGAGACAGACTCCAATTCTATTGGTGAGGGCACAAACCACAAGCACCGAGCATCACTGGGTTGTTTCCTCTTATACCTCCTGACCCTTTGGCACCAGTAACAACTGGCACAGGGACTGGGACCTGAGACAAGTTATCTTTTGTACAATGGTCCCCAACCATGGCAGGGAAGAAGGGAGGACAACCATTCACCAGGCTTGTGGACTTCCCGCACCAAACTAAGACCTCTGCTCCTACACAGCAAGGTAAAAACGGCACCAGGACAGAGTGCACTTTGCCACTAACACCTTCACTCTCCTAACACTCTCTTCATCCCCACCACACAGGTTTGTGCCTCAGGAGCTCACCAAGACTTCAATCTCATCTGCAAAGTGGGGTGTATACTCCTGGGAATAGGGATTCAGTTCCATGACCCCAGGGTCACTGAGAGCTCTGTGAGAGAGAAGGAGTACAGATGCTTTAGGAATGCTGCCCAAAGCCTGATCACTCTGTAAGCTCCATCGTACTGCTGTAAGACTTCTAAGGCAACAGAGAAAATTGAATAGAACTTCAGACTACAGTGACCACAGACCAATGTCCGGCACAGAGGAAGGGATCATGAGAAAGGTACTGAAAATTCAGCTAGCTTGCCTGCCTATGCTGGACAGAAGAAACTCCTGGTGTTGGCTGGTGATGAGTGGTGGGATGCTGGACTGGCTAAAAGTGGGCAGCATGGTCTTACAGGACAGTCTTCCTGGCATGCTCCACCACAGCCAGGGCCATAGCTGCTCAGCCTTCATCCTCCTCGGCACTAAAGCACACAATCAGAGAACAGCAGACAACAGCCATGTTTTTCAATTTTACCCAGAGGCTAGAGAGGTTTCTCAGTGGTTAGAGCACTGGCTGCTCTTCCAGAAGACCTGGGTTCAGTTCCTAGCACCCATGCTCACCTCTCAACTGTCTCCAACTCCAGTTCCAGGGAACTGATTCCTTCATCTGGCCTCCAGAAACACTACACAGACATGGCATAGACATACATGCAGGCAAAATACCCACACACATAAAACATAAATCTTAAAAAAAAAAAAAAAGAAAAAGAAAAAGAAAAAAGAAATTGAAATTATACCCCACAACCCAGGGTCTTGGTTATGTCTCAAGAAAAAGCACTATGGCACAAGGTGGATGCCCTGCTTGGTCTGGAGGGTGCTACAGAAAGGAATTGGCCCTCACAAGAGGCCCTGCTCTCAGCTGACTTTCTCCAGTAGGCAGCCTTGCTCTCCAGGTGCCAACTCCAACCTGGTGGGACAGTCAACAGAGGAACACAGTCTCCTGCATCATATGCACTGTGACCTTGTAGCTAAGGCCAGGTGGAGAACAGGTCTCCCAGGATTGTCGTCACCCACTGCTCTCCACTGTGCCATGGTCTTAAGACACAGATGTGGCACAGTGGCAAAGAAGCAGACCACCTAGAGCTGCAACCTAGCAGAGCAGACAGCACTCCACGTAGAGTAAGCGTAGGCCTTTAAAGCAACAGCATGGAATGCACCTGAGAGAGAAAAAGCTGACGCTTGGGACACAGGAGACAGAGAAGGGCAGAGGGACCAGCTCAAGGTGCAGAAGGCACAGACACAACTGTGAGTAGCGAAGCAGAGCAAGTCATTAGTGGGGATAGGCAGCCTCCCAGGAGCCTCAAGGCACATGAGCAGCCAGGACAGACATCCCTGCCTAACTCTGCTAAGACCTGGTCCCACCAATAACCTCATCCCATTTCAAATAATCACTTTGTGCCTGCCCGGGTGCTTCCTGAATCAATCTAGCAGGAAATCAGGAGGCCCAGGGTCTATGGTGAGAGGTTTCATCAGCTACAGATCCATACTGAGCAAACCCACACTCCAATTATATTTTTAAAAGTTGCACTTGTTCAGTGGCACGAGCAGTGTGGAACTTCACTGAGGCCGGTGGCACTGAGGGGGTGAAGACAGGAGTACCTGTCACCACATCAGCATGGAGTAAGTCTCAGGAGCCCATTTAGTTGGGAAAGAAGTGTTCTACAGCCCAGCTGCTTTAGATTCTAGGCTTTGTTCTGGTGTGAGTAGCAGAGGATAACTAAACCTTCCTTTTTTCTCCCTTAATAAACACCAGTATTTGATGTTCTTTGTTTTTGTTTTTTTTTGAGACAAGTTTTCTCTGTGGAGCTTTGGAGGCTTTCCCGGAACTCACACTGTAGCCCAGGCTGGCCTCGAACTCAGAGATCCGTCTGGCTCTGCCTTCCAAGTGCTGGGATTAAAGGCATGCACCACCACTGCCCAGCTAGCATTTGGTGTTTATATTGCTGAAATTTGGTGGTGAGTTCCTTGGGAGAATCAGAAACACAACAGCCCCCTCTGACCATGCCTGATTGAAGGGACTCTGGTCAGCTTGAGTGTGGCAAACATTGGCTCCGTCAGGCCTTGTCTTTCTCCCTGATTCCCTCTGCCTTGCTAAAAATCATTAGATTGCATCCCTAAAGCTAGCCACCAAAGTCCATTCCCTTATTTGGCCACTTCTTCCTCCTGAGGCTGACTACCAAGGTCCAGCTGTCAAAGTATTGAAGTCCAGCAATCAAAAGTCCCTTTGGCTCACCTAATTAACATGCCCAATTAAAATTAAACACAAGGTTTCCCCTTGGCCCTTTATAAACCACCATTTTCCTATATGCCACATCTGTCTCCTCTCTGTCCAGAGGCAGTCCTTTGTCCCCTCCAGGACAAATACCCCTACCCCCTCTTCCTTCTTCCCTTCCCCTTCTCTTTCATCCTTTATCTCCTGTCTTTGTCTTTTATTCCCTGTCCTCTGTCCCTCTGGAGCAAATAAATCTCCTCTGTGCTGAGAAAACGGTCTTGGGGTCCTGAGCTGATACTTTTCCTTTCAATAATGACACTATGTCCCAACAGTCCACAGCTCTGTACTGTGGATGCCTTCTCCCTGCACCTGGAATCTCCCACTAATGTCCAGCATAACTCACCCACCTTTGCCATGTTTTCCCAAAGGCCTCTTGGGCAGGGACTCCTCCGTGGAATGTGCTGATGTATGCAATGCATTCTCCAGACTGTTGCTGATGCTGCTGACAGGGGTCTCGGTTCTGGGCGCCATCTGAGGAGACAGAATATCATTCTCTTACTTTTTTTCTACATGAGTGTCTCTTGTTGAAAGTTAATACACACAAACGTGGCTTTGAGTTTTCCTACCACAACACAACATCAGACAGAACAGTAGTCTTAGTTAGCCATGGTGGCATGCATCATATGCCTTCATCTGAGGCAAAACCCTGTTTTTACATTTTTAAATTAAATGCTTTCCTATAACAAATTCCACAGAGCTCTGGAAGCCACAGAAAAACAGGGCACAGCACATCTGGCCAGGTAACAATTCCAACAACACCCAACAGACTCCCTCGCCAATTCCTCTTCTAGGGATTGTTGTGTAACACCTTCCTCCAAGATTGAAACATTCCACCCTGAAGGGAAGCTCCTTGAGCAGGAAGGTAAACAACTCAAGATAGCTTCCGGAAGTGCCTGAAACTGACCAGACTGAGTAGGCCCCTCCCTGCCAGAATGAACAATAAGAGCTGAGAGTCCATTCAGATGGAAGGCAGTGGGCAACACCAGCTGAGCTGCCAAGTTAACTCTCAAAGGGGAACAAGAAGACTCTGGGACCAGGACAGCTCAACAGCTGCCTGGAAGAAGTAGAAACCAGCCCGAGCCGCCTGCAAGAGGTTTAGACCACTGAGGCATCTGGAATGGGCACTCTCCAACCTGGTGAGCTGCCTGCAGGTGTGCAGTGCGCTCCTGGTTCCCAGCGCTGTAGCTGTCACCCGGCTGGGGTGGGCCTTGGTGATACAGCTGTCTTGGAGACACTTGTGCCCTTATAAGTAACCCTCACTATATTAACGCAAGTAACCCCGATAAAACTCACTGGTTCACCAAATACATACTTTGGTCTGTCCTGGGATCCCCATCTAGGGTGAGATGTGTGTTGCATCTCCCCAGGAAAAGTTTTGTCACACAAAAGGATTCACCACATTAAAGTTTTACACAGGAAGAGACCTGACACTGAAAACTTCATTATTTAGAGACAGGGACCTGCTGATATAAGCCAGGGGACACCACAGCTAGACTGTGACACAATCAGCCTCTGCTGTTGCTGGGTGTAAGAAGGTTCTTATTATGTGCACACACAGAACTGGGCCCACAGCCCTGGACAGCTGACTGGTCTTTGGGAAGGGGGTGGACTACAGTATTCTCCATTTCCCCCTTAACAGTATTAGAAAAATTTACAGCCCAAATAAACTAGATATAAAATTAAAAAAACATCAGTGCTTTCACTTCAGTCTTAACTAAGATTTCAAATATTAGCCGAGTGTGGTGGAGCACACCTTTAATCCCAGCACTCAGGAGGCAGAGGCAGGCAGATCTCTGTGAGTTCGAGGCCAGCCTGGTCTACAAAGTGAGATCTAGGACAGAAGTTGAGGAACTAAGTCACTCTTGGTCCAGCCTTTAACTTGAGCAGTGAGCACGTGGGACATGCCTGCTCCTGATATCCTAGCCCTTTGCCCATGGCTTCCTGTTGTTACCTGCCTGGTGGTGGCAGGTGTCACTGGCTGTTCAGAGGCCAGACCCAGCGCCTGAGGCTCTGAGGTAAACAGGCAGCTGAATGAAGGCACAGACCACCACCCAGTTTGTCAGAGTCACTCAGTAGAAGCCTGGTCAAACTGGGGTCAAGAAGGCTTACCTCTGATTTGGTGTGGTGGTGTACGCCTTTAACCTCAGTACTTGGGAGGCAGAGGACGGTGGATCTCTTCGAGTTACAGGCCAGCCTGGCCTACACAGTGATTTCCAGGCCATCCAGTGCTACACAGAAAGACCCCAACTCAACAACAATAAAAGGCTTACTCTGCATCCCAGTATCCAGTAGAGCACAACAGATGCCTATGACAGTATGCCACCAGCCAGTCTCTATGAACTTGAACAGAACTCAAGGAAACAAATCCTAGTCATTCATTCACTTTAGAAATACAATTCATTGTGGCTAACATTATCAAGAAGTTGTCAAGAAAGTTAAATTTGGGGGGCTGGAGAGATGGCTCAGAGGTTAAGAGCATTGACTACTCTTCCAGAGGTCCCGAGTTCATTTCCCAGTAACCACATGGTGGCTCACAACCATCTGGAATGAAATCTGGTGCCCTCTTCTGGCCTGCAGACATACATGCTGTATACATAATAAATAAATCTAAAAAAAAAAAAAAAAAAAAAAAATAGAAAGAAAGTTAAATTTGGGTCTTGAGATGTTGGTAGAGTGCTTGCCTAGCATATCCATGAATCCCTAGGTCTGATCCCCAGGCATGATGTTTCCCACCTGTAAACCTAGCACCCATGAGGTAGAAGCTGAAGGATCAAAAGTTCAGGGTTTCCCTTGGCTATACAGCAAGTTCAGTGCTAACCTGGGCTACATGAAATTCTGTCTCAGGAAGGAAAGAAGGGAGGGAGGGAAGGAGGGAGGTCAATAAAGAGGGCTGGGTAAAACGGCTCAGTGGATAAAAACATTTGACTACTAGCCTGAGTTCAATCCCTGAAAACAAAAAGATAGGAGAACTGACTCCACAGGGTTGTCTTCTGACTTCCACATGCATAGTGGCATGGAGACATGTACCCCTGTCATGCACATACAAGTAATAATAACAATAAAATATAATTATAAAAGACATAGAAGAATGTTAAATTATAAACCTGGCATTTCACATCTGCCTATAATCCCTGCACTTGGAAGTCAAAACAGGAGGGTCCTGAGTTCCAAACTAAAGTGGACTACACCACAAGCTGCCTTCAGTGTAGCAGTTTTTTTCATCATTCAATAGTAGAACATTAAGAACAAGAAACACCCATATGGGGAGACAAGATTCCCACCCAACTCGGTGAGCAGCTCAGATACAACCTCTCAGTATATGGCTACCAGCCACCAGCAGCTTGTCCCAGTTGTTTGACTCACACAGCTCCTGACTCTACATCCTGGTTCCAAGAGGCCATGGTGGTTCTGACTAGTCACAGAAACCAGCATCCCCTATCACCAGAAGACCACTAAGCAAACCCCAGCTCCCCGACTCCAGCCTCCATGTGAAGGTAGTGAAGGGGTGTGCTGACAACAGGTCTCACTAGGGTACCCTCCACATCCAGGCCAGAGTCCTGCAGGGGCTTATCCTTGTGTGCTGCCAGCTGCTGAGAGCCAGGCTGAGGGAAGGACTACTTCACAAAGAATCAGCTTGCCCAGCTGCTGACTTCAGTAAGTGACAACAACAGGAAGCACTTCCTATGTCCATGTAGACGCAGCCCAGAGCTGAGGGCTGCTGTCCTTATTAGGCCAGTGGCCAGGTCTAGGACAGGGCAAAGCTGTGAGCTGCCTGATGAAAACACACACGGGGGAAAAAAAAATGCCTTAAGAGGTGATGACCCCAAGGCCAAACGTGTCTGCCTGTCTATCGGTCTGGTCTTCCTCCTCTTGCCTCCTCCTCTAGTCTCTTGCTTGCCTGTTTACACTAAATGCTGCCTTCAACTGCAATTCCCAGAAATGCTGTTTTAGGTTATTTTTGGTTAGGTTAATTTGGCCACGTGACCTGCAGTTCAACTCAGATATTCTGACTCACTTTCAGCCGAGCTGCAATGGGCCTGATGTTCACATGTTGCCCTCCCATCCTGTGCAAGGCCTGTAGACTAAGCCAAGGCACTCCCTTCCCCAGCTCTTCCTGTTAGTCCAAATCCTCTCTGGGCAAAGCACCTTACTTTATTTCCAAGTAAAGGTCATAGGTTCTACTGTCCAACTAACTGTCCTTTCAATATCGTGGCCAACATTTCGAAGACCATCAGGACCTGCGGCACAGCCCACAGGGACCCAGATGCCCCCCCCCCATCTCATTTACCTGGCCCAGTGGACACAAATTCCCTTCTATCAGACCGTGGCTCTGTGCTCCTTGTCCATATGGCTCCCTCAGTACCGCTCATCTCTACACAACTGCATTGCCAGCATTCAGCGAGGCATGGTTTTGTTTTGCTTTTGTTGTTTGTTTGTTTCTTCTCCTGTGGGGCTGTTTTGTTCATGGAGGGATCCTCCACATGTACAAAAATGCCTTCCATTGAGAAGCACTAGGCATCTATAAGACATCTGTAAAACATTCAGCTACAGCACCAAGTTCCAATGGCCCCAGTGGCACTGATTTCCAGGTGATGCTCTGTATTCCCATCTTGCCTGGTGTCATCACTAGGGTCTCAGCAGCTCTGCTCAGGCACCAGTAAGATGTGATGTTCAGCTCTTGTGGAAGCCCAGAATGTACTCCTCTTTCCTGGGGCCCCAGAAGAGCTTATCTGAGTTCTAGTGCTGCTGCTTGCTCAGAAGTGCCTTGCCGGAGTGGAGTTTAGACTACTGGCCTGAAGCAGCATTCCCCTGGCTCTTGAGGTATACCTGCTAGGTACATAGAGATGAACTGGTACATCCAGACCTAATATGTAAAGACCTGTAGGTCCAGCCTGGAGGCCCAGGCATGCAATCTCAGATAACCAGGAGACTAGGACAAGAGGATAGAAGGTTCAGGGCCAGTCCAAGCTGGTGACCAAATTCAAGTCCAGCCTGGATGACTTAGTAACGGGCTTGTCTCAAAAAGTAAAAAGAGGGCAGAGCGTCCTCAGCTCACTCAGAGTCTCACCTGAAACATGCAAGGCCCTAGGACTGGATTCCCAGGACCATGTAAAACAAAACAAGAGCTTCCAAATCATGGTATATGTGTATTCTGACTTGGGTCCAAGGTGGATCTTGAGATTCTGCATTCTTGACTATCAGGACATTTCAAAATAAAGGATTACACCTGGGTCAGACCAAAGGCTAGGCAGCTCCCACAAAAAGGGACATGAGCATCAGAATCCCAATTCATGTGGATAATCAAACCAGATGGACTTGGATCCCTTCCAGGGAAGTAAGTCATGGGAGTCATGTGGCTTGATAGCTGATGTTGGTCCTATCATGATGGCTAATAACTGTTCCTCAGACATAGACAAATTTTAAAAGGTTTTCCTCAGACTGTAATACCCCATGAAAAAGCTCACATTTACAGGCTTCTTCAAAGCTACGTGTAAATTCACTTTAATATTCATACATCAGGGACACAATCTTTAGAAATTTAATTTTTGAACATCAATTCCATTTTCAAAGAGGACATGCTCACATGTAATCATATTTCTGGAAGCAGAGCCTGCTAAATATACAGACTGCAACAGACAAGCCAACCAGGGGAGCCTGGGCCTCCCATAGCCCAGTGCCATTGCTCCAACAGGGAATGGTAGTGAGCTACTGGAGGAGGTACACACATCAGCCACACAACAGACCAAGTTATCCCCACATTACAAATCAAACTGGAGCACAACTCCCAACCCTTTGTCTGGGGCCATAAGCCCAGCTGGGAAGAAAAGAGTGAGGCACTGCAGCCAATGAAATCAAAGGGACCAGTGGGCATGGTGGCACACACCTATGGTCCCAGCACTCATGGAGGTGGAGATGGGAGAATCACAAGTTCCAGGTCAGCCTGGGCTACATAATAAGACCCTGTCTCAAAATAACCAGGAGGGAGGGAAGGAAGAAAAGAAGGTGCACCAGAGTATGGGCAGATAACACGGGCACAGAGTGTGCAGACGGCAGCACAGGCCTTGCTCACTGATGAGATTTCATCTTGTTCTGCTTCAGCCTCTTTCACTGCAATGTGGAAATAATAGCAAGTAGCTCACAGGGCTTTAATGGTAATTAAAATGCATTTACTAAGCTTACCAAGCTGGAAGACAGATACTAGTCACTGTTACTGCTACGGCTGCGGCACACAGTGGGGCTGCTAAGGAACCTCAATGGACAGAAGTACTGCCACGGACAGCACAGTAACAAACATGACCGCACAGGAGGGTCGGTCACAAGCCACGGGTCCTACAGAGCCTCCCTGCCCTCCTGGATGTCCCCTAGGCATTGGGCAGAATTCCAAACAGTTACCCAACATCCACATCCCTATGTTAGAACACAGGGGGTCTCTCCTCCTTCAAACAGGCCCTTCTTAATATGTCCATCACGACAGGCCATCACTCCATCTAAAATTAACAATGACAGCTTGAGAAGTCATTTCATCACCTGAATTTCAGTGAAACAAAGTCATCACAGAAAGACAGCAGCAGTCTCAGCCTTGGCTGGCAAGTATTGACTGGTGCCACTGCTGGGCAGCCAGTATGCAGGACACAGCTAACTGTGGCACCTCGGCACCTTCCGACCTTCTAAAGCTACCTAGAGGAGTCAACAGATTCCTAAGCTATACACCAGCAATAGAGCCAAGACTTGTGTGTAGGAAGATACAACTTGCCTTCACAAGATGAAAATCAATGATGACATCACCACACATCAAATTCACAGGTAACACAAAGCCACAGTCATCTGACTACAGACAAGGAGTCCTTTAAACAGAATCAGAGGAAACAAAAGATATGGGGAATGTTCACAGGTATGTGAAAAAAGGAAAATGTGTCTATAAGCAGACAATCACTGGAAAGAGACGGGGTGGGGGGGTAGGGGGGGAAAGCCTCAAAAGAGCTCACAGCACTTATGTCTAGGTGACTTATTTATTTAGAAAGGTTTAAATACACTTTATTGTTATTGGGGGGGGGGGCGGGATTCCATCAAGCAGAGCCAATAAATGTGGTCTCAGTTGTCACCATGGAGACATCAATATGTCATGATGTCTAGAACAGGTAACTAGAATTGAACCATGATCCTAGGGAAGGCCCATCATGACTGCGGGAGACATGATGAGGAAGAGTTGGCAAGGATGGTCTGTCTGGTCACAGGATGTTGGGAGGACACCCCCCTTTTTCTCCTGCTTCTTATAGTTCTCCAGATGTAACAGGACCTAGCCCACAGACAGAAGGGAACACAGGAAGCAGAAGTGAGCCCCTAGCTGTTCCAGTAGCATCTTGGAATGGTCCAAGCACTGCCAGCCACAGGGTGGAGCCAGTCAGTCCCTTCATCAGCAATGGCATCAGAACAGACACAACAGTGTGAAGCAGCCAAAGATGAGTTAAGTTTTTGAGACAGTCTTACTTTATAGCCCACAATGGCCTCAAACTCACAGTGATCTTTCTGCCTCGGTCTCTTGAGTAGTGAGGTTACAGGCACACACCATCACGTCTTGGCTTTATTTTCTAATTTTCTGTTTTCCAACTTTTCTACAAAGAGCAGACACTACTTTTAGAAAAAGAAGCTAAAGATCCAGTCTAAATATAGACGCCTTCCTACCAGGTATGAGCAGCTCAGAAAGGCACACACAGCTTGTACTTCCCCCCCCTTCTGTAGCCTCCATACCCATCCCACAAGTCCCAGGGTGCTACCCCTGGACTGTGGGATGGGTAGAAACACGTGATCAAGACCCCAGATGCCCTGTTCATCACTGGGAAGATGACAATTCAGGATAATCAAGTGGGGAGGGTGGAACAGCGGTCAGGAAACCACCATGGAGCCAGGGCCTAACTGGCAGGAAGAGCTACTAAACCCTGGGGATGGGCCTTTGAGCATAAGAGTACATGTAGAACCAAGGCAGTAGGAGCTGGCACTAGTACCCAAACACAGTCTAGTCAACCACCAGCTTGCCTAAGCAGGAAAGGGTAACATCTGCTATATGCTTTCAAGTCAATGTAAGAAAACTGATTTGTAAGCACTTTACCAAAATAGTCATTTTGTGTCTCTAAACCAGAACAAGAAAATAGTTTAATAGTGAAAGCTATTTGCTGACTTAGGCCAAATGAAAGCCAATGCTAACCAAAAACCACTTTCCACACAAAAAATTCCTTTTAATGTCTCTTACCAGACAGATAGAGAAAATGGAGAGGAGAGCTAAGACAGACTGCTCCATTGTGGCAGAGTATGTATAGGGAGGGATCCCCAAGGTGGGGAGAGAATAGGCTTCTTCCACATCCAGTGAGGTCTGTTAGGACACAGCTCTGTAGTCCTGGACATCCCACCACAAGCTAGTCCCACATCCTGCATGGGAAGCTACTTAATACAGCCTGCAAAAGAGCCCAGGCCTGCTGGAAGAACCCTGCCAGACACTGAAAAGAGGTAGGAACTGTGCAAACATGCTCCTCCTGGTGACCATGTACTAGTTTATGGTGCTGAAACATGTCACCACAGATGTAATTGAGGGCTGAGATGGTACACAGACAATGTCTCTGAAAGTAATAACCTGCTTCTCATCACCATACCCTTTCTGATATGGTCTGAGGCAGTCCAAGGGACTGTCTTGCTGACTGGGGCTGGCTACTGCCTAACTGCTTACAGCTTCTGCCTTACTACACTCCATTCCATCTGAGGTTTGCACAGTGAGTCCAGGCACTAGAGACAGAGAGAAGGAGGAACATGGTGGTAAACCCTATCAGCCTCCTGTAATCAAGAGCCATGGCCTGCACTCATGCCCTTGGGGACCTTGGACCATACACTGGTTGTGCATGCAGCTAGAGGAAGCAGGTGGCATCTCCAACAGCTATATCAACCTCAAGACTAAAGCTGCTAGCTCTCAGGAGCAGCATAGAATGGGGCCTATCATACTCACTGATTCCATCAGCTGCCACACAGCCCTGTCAGAAGACACACAGGCAAAAGGAACTCTGCAATACACCCCAGCCTTTGATTCAGGCTTTAGCTTCAGTGTCTCCTCCATGATGAGTGGTGAGGGGCTGCCTGGCTAGGCTGGGGGAAGTAGGAAGTGCCACAGTTGTCAGAAAAAGTTCCACTATCAGCAGTGAGGTGTGATCATGACCATGAAGAATGCTCAGAAGCCAAATTTAATTTTTTTAAATTCTGTGTATGTATATGGGTATGTATACATGAGTGCAGGTGCCCACAGAGGCCAAAGGCATCAGATTCCTCCTGGAGTTTGAGTTACACATTGCTGTGAACTGCCTGATATGGTGCTGACAATCAAACTCAGATCCTCTGGAAGGGCAAGATGTACTCCTAACCCCTGAGCCCATAAATTATGTTGGTTATTGTTTGAAGCAGAATCTCACTATGTAGCCTTGGCTGGCCTGGAGCTTTCCATGTAGACCAGGCTAGCACTGAATTCACAGAGATCTATCGGCTAGAATTAGTGCGCACCGCCACACTTAGTGATTTATTTATATTTTATACATGAGTGGTTTGTCTGTGTGTTTATCTGTGTACTACATGAGTGCAGGGCCCAGGAGCCAAAGGGTGTCAGATCCCCTGGAACTGGAAACACAGACATTTTGTGAGTTGCCACCATTAGGTGTGCTGGAAATCAAACCCAGTTCCTAGGTCCTCTGGAAGAGCAGCCAGTGCTTAACTGATGAGCCATCTCCAAGATTAAAGGCCCAATGAACCCCAGTACAAGAAGCCCACTCCAATACACCAAAGGCGGCCATCTAAAGTAAAGCAGCAAACCATTCCTCAGCCCTCTTCCCCTGGAAAATCTGACTAGAGAGACTCAGGATGCCTAAATTCAGGCAGCAGGTGCCACTTTCTGCTCTGAGCCTGCAAATGGGAGTTAGGTTCCCGACCCCACACCCAAGTGGCAGCAAGGGGCACTAATTGTGGGTGTTTATCCCAGGGACTGCTGATATTAAAGGTACATTACACACAATATTGGTACAATGAATATCCTGGCTAGGAATGTGTTTCTTTAACAAATAAGAAGGGGGTCTTGCTACCTTGCCCAGGCTAGCCCCAAGCTCCCAAACCTTTAGGCTCAAGCAATGTTCTCATCTTAGGTTCCCAAGGGGCTGGGCCACAGGTGTGTATATCTGAGTCTGGCTCAGAAGCATGTTTCCACTCTGGAGTTTTGTATGAGAAACTGGCCAAATCACAGTAAATTCATTAACTCAACTGCCTAAGATGGACCCTTGAAAACAAGCAGAATGCTAAAGTGACTGTTGTGCAGCCTTAGAACATGGACTCCACACCGCCAAAGCAACCGGCACTATCCAGTAGTCAGCCCAAACCTACAAACACTGACAAGCTGAACAGCACCAAGGGCAGCAAGACAGGACAGACAAGGGGCAGGTGTCTCATCTTGTGGGCTGTGCCCGGTGCCCAGAGAAAGGAAAAAGGAACCCATGAGCTGATCCAGGGTGCAGCCTATTGGTCAAGTTCCAGTTCAGCTGCACAAAGAGGACACCCCCGCCCCACTCTACTTCCAAGAGAGATACCTATACCCCTCCTATCAACTGTGCCATGTTTCAGCATAAGTTCTGAGAAACACAGGTATGGGGTTGGTTCCAAGACACTTTATATGCATAGTGAACACTTAGAGCACAAAAATAAAGAAAACAAAGATGGAAACACTCCTGCTCAACATCCTGCCATCATAAACAAGAACCTGGGTGTAACCAGCAAAGCCCTGGTGACCCCCCCCCACCACCACCACCAATCAGAAGTTGATTTGGAAGACCAAAAATGCTCCCAAGGGCTCTAAAAACCAAGTCTCCCAGCAGTTCAGCAAATGCTGATCTCAAAATGCTTAACTCAACATACATGAGCCACATACACTAGCAACAAGGGACCCTTTCAGTGATCACATCTCCCACCAAGATCTCCTGTCTCTGGCTTAGCTCTGACCTTAGTGACTATTGAGTCTCCAGCAGCCTAGGTGACCTGGATAAGCAAAACTGAGGCCATAACCAGCTAACCCCTGTCACTCTCAAGCAGCGTCTTGTGCAGGGCCAGAACCCACTCACTGTCCTTTCTCCACTAGTGGATGTGAACATAGTGGCTTGTTGTGCACTGGTCATTCAGACTGGTGACTGGCTTGTCCCACCTCTACCCACTGTCCATGCGTGAACTCTCCCTATGGATTCTGTCGCATCACTTACAGCTAGACTGTCGGGTTGTTAGGTTTATTTGCTATGAGTCATTTCTCTTTCCCTGGTGTGTGAACAATAAACCATGGATTTGAAAAAGACACCTGATTGACTGCTTCTCTGTGACTCATAAATTCAAGCCAACATAGCAACTAGAATTGCTGAGGAAAATCACAGCTGACCATGGGCTAAGAAGAGAAATGTGTGGTATGCCCAGCCAACCAGAGCATCTTTATTCCTCAGAACCAATCCACAGGTCCTACAGTATCTCCATCACAGAATCCAAGAAGCAACCATAATCAATAGACACCAGAGAAACATAACTAGGCCCCTGGCAGAGCAAAAGCCTCCTGGAAATGACTAAGCTGGTCAAGAGTCTCAGGTAGAAACAGCAGGGAAGTTTTATTAAGCAATACTAAGGGAAGCACAGGCTGAAGAACCAAAGGGCACCAATAGAAGAACAGAGATGGTTTGGGGGAGGATTTTGGTTTGGTTGGTTGGTTGGTTTGTTGAGACAGGATCTCATTAATTCTAACTGGCCTAGAACTCACAGAGATCCACCTGCCTCTGCCTCTTGAGTGCTGAGATTAAAGGTGTGTGCAACCATACCCCTCAAGAAAATGGAATTTTAAAAGTGAAATTTTAGCTGGGCAATGGTGGTGCATGCCTTTAATCCCAGCACTTGGGAGGCAGAGCCAGATAGATCTCTGTGAGTTTGAGGCCAGCCTGGGCTACAGAGTGAGTTCCAGGAAAGGCGCCAAACCTACACAGAGAAACCCTGTCTCAAAAAACCAAAAAAAAAAAAAAAAAAAAAGTGAAATTTCAGCATCAGAAAATGCCATTTCTGAACTAAAAACCCACTGGAAGGCTTAGAAGCAGGCTTGAGATAACAAGACACTGCCATCTTGATGGCTTTGAAGACGGGCCCATGGAAGGTGTCCCATCAGCAGGACAGAAGAGAGATCTGAGAGGACACCTATGCGGGAACAACAACAAATGGGTAAATGCTTGCAATTGCATCCCCACAGGAAATAGACACAAGACTGGAATGCGTTGCTCAAGTCCCCAAGTTTAGCAAAAGGCATAAATTCACAGCTCCAAAACATTCAGAGTAGCCAACAGGTAAGCTTAGGAGAGAGAGCATGCAGACACACACAGCAGAGCCACCAACACAAGAGAACTCTGAGCCCAGTCAGAGGGTGGCAAGGGCACAAGGGAGGTACAGAACAGCCAGACGGCTCTCCACTGTCTACCAACCCAGTGATGAGACAGGGAAAAGCAAAGCTGTGTGCCAGCACCTGCCGAAAGGATGCAGTACAAGCTGGGTCTTCTAAGAGGAAAAAAAAAATCACAAAATGGGAACTATGTGAGCAAGTGTGAAAGAGTCTACATTCAATCACTCACTCACGACATGGTTTTATCCTATAGCCCAAACTGGCCCTGAACTTGTGGTCTTCCTGCTTCAACCCTCCAAATGTTGGGATTACAGGTATGTGGCACCACTTCCTGCCTCTCTCCATCCTCCCTTCCTCCCGCGCGCCACCCCCCCCCCCAGCATGCTGAACTAAGGTATAAAAGTCTTGTGCACACTAGGTAAGTACTCTGCCACTGAGCTTCAGCCCAGAATCTATCTTCATTTGATTTAAAAAAACAAAAAACAACTCCTCCCACTGAAGCAGATTACTATAATGTACTGTGAGGTTTAGGGCCCCTGTTGTTGGCATGGGAACCACCCCCAGCCCCAGGGACAAAGGTAGCCCCCAACACAGGTGAGAAGTACTGCACACTCAAAGTGGACTTGAGAGGTAAGACTACACCAAGACCCCAAGATCCACCATGAAACCCCACAGTGTGAAAGAAGACAGGAGATAAAATGGAATTTCATAACTCTTAAATGGAGTCTTCGGAGTACACAAAACTAACCAGTTAATAGAAAAGTAGCAGAACAGAACAAAGAAAAAGAGCAAAAAAAGCCTGAGGAAGGCAAGGATGAAGGTAGGAATGGGGTAGAAAACATCGAGGGAGTAGAAAATGGCCCTTCTCTACCCTGAGAGGCTTGTGTCACATGGGCTCACACAGCTGTCAAAAGACAGGGCAATGGGGGAGGTGGGGGGGGGCGACTATGCATTTCGCCCAGTCTAAGTGTTGCCTGGAAATGAATCCTAGAGAACTACTTGTGTGTAGGACTGAGCAACACCAGGCCTAAAGGCTCCAGTGCAGTCCTAGGAGAGGACTATGGGTCCCAAGCCAGAGCCCTACAGGTAGTCCCACTCACTGCAGCCTCCTAGAGCAAAGCTGCCTTCCCATCTCACTGTCCTGAGTTCCCCTTTCATTTCTAACAATGAACTAAAACAAATGTCATCATTTTGTCTTCACATAATAAAAATAGCCACCAACTGATGCTACCTTTGCAAACTGCTAAGGCTTACCTGTTTTCTTGGTGTTAAAAGAGGAACATGGGTCAACTAACTCTGGTGATGATTCAACACATCCCTGAAATGCACTGGGGACATTGCTGAGCACATGGCTGATGTGGGCTACCATCCATGCCCCCTTCTTGGACCCTTGTTCTCTGTCTCACATTTCACATGACCCTGAAGGGGAAGTCAGAGCCGTCAGAGCCTCCCTATCAACCACTGGATAGCTACCTCAGGCACCCACACACACCCTCAGAAGATTACCCTCCCAATGTGCTATGCCTGCCAACCTTCAGCACCCTGCACAGCACAGAAGCCTCTGACCCCATCTCAAAAAGCCTGGTGCTTGGCAATACCTGGGTGTACCACACCAACCTTCCCACAGCTGCCACTTGGCACCTTCAAATGTCCCTTCAACTTTACCAAACAGCACCACAACACTGTCAAGCATCCTTCTCATGTCTAGAGTGATGAGGGAGGGGGTTGGGACTCTGCTTCATAAACTAAATCTTAAGTGCAAAAGTGCCTGTGGCTGCACTGAGCACATCCAGGACTTCCTACCTGCGCGTGCTTTAATGAGGCTCACTGCTGAGTCAGTATGAGGCCTGAGAACATACAAACTCCTTTGTAGGAACTCTGCTGATACTGTCTGTGGTTCCCAAATAATCAGGAAATGATTCCATGACTCTCCCTTCTGAGGATGAACTGGTATCACTGGTTAAACTAAGAGAGAAGCAGGCTAGACACTGGAATGACATGGCTGCTCCCTTTACTGCTAATCATTAGCAACCACAGCATCCAGCTTGCCACAAGTCAGAGTAGCATGGACACAAAAGGAACACAGTACACACAAGCCTTTCTCAGGACTACAAAAATGAATTAAACCCCTCAGACTACTAAGGAAAACAGCCTACTCAAGTGTTCCCAATGCTTCACAGGACCCCCACCACTTGGTGCACTTGCTCAGGATCCTGCGGATTCTATGTGTTGGCAGTAAAGATTGCACACAGCCCAATACCATGGCACAGCATTTTTCCAGAGAGCTGTGCAGCCAGCACTAGAGAAAGATCAAGTCAAAGACCATTACATAGGATACAGAGGAAAGTCCCTGGAAACAGCCTACGGTACATGAGAAAAATAGTTCCTGCCATGAGCTGCACCAGGAACTGGCCACAGCACCAGCCATTCCCTCCTCTCACTGGCTGGAACAGATGTTCTTTGGAACGAGCAATGCAGGGATGCTGGGCGATCACCATCTCTGTGCTCCAGCGAGTGAGTCTTTCAACAGAAACACAAAGACATCTATGATCATAACCGGGCAGAAATCTCTAAGGATGTAATGGAAAGATCATTAAGTGGGCAATGGAGCCATCGCACTGCACAAGCTCATGGAGTGAAGTCAGAGAACTGCAAGAGAAGATGGTCTACAGAGACAGGCATGCCATGCTGAGAACTGAAGGCCAGACAGGGGAGGGGTCCACAGCACCTTCCCAAGACCATATGCAGGCACCACCATAGTACCCTCCATTAGAAACCAGACCCAGGGCAAAGTCACAAGTTAGGCACACTGCTGTGGCTTCTAAGGAAAGTTACGGCATCAAGTTATCTGGTGATTTAACTAAAAAAGGAAAAAAAAGTCAAGAAGCTGTAAAGTTGTTTCTTGTCCACACTGAATAATGACACCAGCTTATGAAGAAATGTACCATATATGTGCCACACTCATGGCCCTAGTGTATATCATGCACAGCACATGATCCATGTACCATCTGTTTCCTGTGCATATACATTGTGCCATATATCTATCCTCATAAGTGTTGCATGGAGCAAGAGGGGTTGGAAAGGAGTCAGGGAGAAAGGAGTGGACAATACAGGACTTGCCAAATAACCCTCACCCTGGGAAAGACATCATCACAGGAGCCAGCCTGGTGGCCCACAACTACAGTCCTAGCCCTAGGGAGGCTAAGGAAAGAAGATCATGAGTTCCGGGCAAGCCTGGGCTACAAAGTGAGACTGCATCTCAAAATAAGTAAATTAATTAACTAAAAATTTAACAAAAAAACAAACAAACAAACAAACCCCTCCCACATATCCACAAAACCAGAGAGTTCAGAAACAAATCCAGATAGTGATAGGGTGTGTGATGAGAGCAGTTCCACCTAGGGAGTAAAGGCCACCATGCAACAGACAGTGCTGAGAAAGAGACCGGCATGTACAGTGCCAAGGAGCTTTGCCCCTCCCTCACACCAGTCAAATCCAGATGGGGTAATTCAACAGAAAAGAGATTGAACAAGTTCTGTCCAGATGATACCGGGAAGTATCCTCAAGCTGTGTCATGCTCACATGCATGTGTCACATATGTATCTAATACCCAGTAGGGTATTAGAAGACCAACTACTGCAAGAGAATATTTGCTCCCATTCTGGTCTCACTTTAAATAACTTCAAGCCTTTCAACCCACAACAAAATCCTATTCAGAGTTGCCTGCTTCATGAGATCCTGATGGTCTCTTCGCTTTTTGTTTTGAAACAGGGCCTCACTATGTATCCAAGGCTAGCCTCTACCTCATGACAAGCCTCCTGTTCCAGCCTCTCAAGGGACAAAGATAACTTTACCTTTGGCATGCCATGTTTCTACAGCGTTCCTTCTTTCCTCAATGGAGCCACCTGCTACTGCCTTGCTAACAATGGCTCAGAAGACACATCTAAGGTCTGAAGTCAAAGCCTGCAGCAATCTTGCTGGTGAGCTCACCCCTGATGGGTCCCAGCTGAAGTCCTAGGAGTGAGGATTTTTTTTTCCCTGAAATCTTACCCTGCTAAGGGAGGGAGGGAGGGAGCCCTAATGTAGAAATTATTTTTCCCAGGCAAAAATAATTTTAAAAAATGTGGGGTTAGAGAACTGGCTCAGCAGTTAAGAGCATTGGCTGCTCTTCCAGAGGACCTGGGTTCAACTCCCAGCATCCACATGGCAGTTTACAACCATCTGTAATTCCAGTCCCATGGATGTGATACCTCTTCTCTCCTTCACAGGCACCAGGCATGTATGTGGTATAGACATACATACAGGCAAAACACCCATACAAATAATATAAAAATAAATCTTAAAAAAAATTTACTGTTCTCTACCCACAGCCTCACAGAAGCCAGGAGCCATCCGGTCTACAGGGAGCACATCTAGGTGGCACCTTTAGCAGTATGCATGCCAATGGTCTGGAAACTATGTATCGTAAGTGTGCTCTCAGCCCAAAGGCAAGGTAAATATGGCACAGAGGACTGAGGCACAATGGACAGAATGGAACTTCAACAAACAATGGCTTCAGAAAGCAGCAAGACTTGGCAGTTTGTTTCTGGTGTTTGCTAGCTACCTGTACATACAATGTCACCATGCTATGCATCAGACCCTGTTGTGACAGCTTCCAGATTCTGAAGCATGATGCTCCAGCACACAGCTCAGATGGGGCTCAAGTAATGACTAAAGTGCACATGGGCTGAATACTGGGAAAGCAATAAATAGTCTTAGAGTTCAATGTGGGGGCAAAAGACAATCGCTTCAGAGCCATACAGTCCATGGCAGCAAGTGGACCTGCTGTAACTGCAAGACACTACTAGGCTTCCACTTGCTATTGGAGATCTGCCACTAAGAAGGCCATTAAAATAGAGTTTGAGGGTGTCTAAAAGCCCACAGCATGCACTTCACTGTGAACGGGACAGTCACTTTGACCATGAACTGGAGTACTCCCACCTAGGTAGAAATATAGGGAGCAATGTGTGGACTCAGGGAGAAGATCAGCTGTCCTGGAGAAAAATGCTATCTCAGTCCTGGGTATCCTGAAGACACAATCTACTCTAGCTCTTTAGAATGCTGGGGGCTTTTGGCAGCAGGGTGCAGTGTCAGGGTTATAAGAGAAATCAAGCGAAGCCATCTACTCCTCACATGATACCCAAAGGACAAACTGCCCCAATGTCTGACCTTTGAACTGCAATGACTTGCAAGAGCTTAACACAGACAAGCAGCCAAGTGGAAGCAAAGCCTGTATCAGGCAAGAGCTTACTAGCAATTTTATTAGTAGTCTGTGGAGATTGCTGTAAGTCTGCAGAGGGCAAATCCTAGGGCACACACAGCCAAAACCAGGTGGACAGCTCTGGAACAGCCACCAAAATCAAGACCAGAACCTCAACCTCCCCCTACACGCACACACACACCACACCACTTCGGACCTCCTTTAAGAGAAAAAGACTCCCATGAAGTAGTTCTGCCCTTGTAACCATAGTGCCTAGAGGGCCCGCCCGGCAGCTATGCAGCCTGCTCAGCAGTCCCCTGGGTGGCAGCCCATCCCAAGAATGAAGTCCCTTGGGATAGCATGTGCTGAAAGAGTGCCAAGGAGTATGTGTTAATGTTGGGCATTCAGGAGTTTACCAAGAAGAACGATCTCAACTAAGCATCCATCCAAATCCCTACACCCAATGAACAGATAAACCATGGCCCATCCACATGATGAATAAATATTAATGAGTCATAAAAAAATGGTGTGCACACTCTCACAAGTGAAGCCTTTAAAAGCATGCCAAGTGAAAGAAGCCCATCACAAAAGGGCCAGTACCTGTGCTTCCGTTTACATGGTATGACTGCAGAAGACAAACCCACGGAGACAGAAATTTGATGGTGAGTGTCTGCTGAAGGACTGGTAGGGAGAATGGAGTGACGGCTCAGAGGCATTGGTGTCTTTAAAGAGTGATCAGATGATCTCAAGTTCCACCATGTTAATGGCTACAAAGCACTACACAATACCTCTGCCAGAAGAATTCAGAGTGAATGCTCTCTTGCACCAGCTCCCTGCCACCAACTTGAACAAGTGTACAAGTCTACCCCCCAGGGCAGCCTTGAACTCCAGATCCTCCTTCCTCAGCCTCCTGAGTGCTAAGATTGATTACAGGTCAGTATCTCATTGCCAAGTCAAAAGTCTTGATTTAACATGCTTCCAAAATCAAGGCTTTCTATTTAAACCAAATGCAAACACTGTTCTCACCAGAGCACCGAGACCACGTCTAGGGGACAGAAAGCATTGGCAGCATTAAGGAGACTAAGTCCTGCAGTCCCTCACCCTCCCATAGCAGTGTGCTCAATACAACAGATGGTTTTCTGAAGAAAGCCATGCCTATGTAATGACATCCACAGCGGGGCTTGGTGCATACCTAGCCTCTCAGCTCTCAGGAGGCTGAGGCAGGAGGATAGTGACTCCCAGCCCAGAGTGAGCAACACAGAGAGATTCTGGTCTTTAAAACAAATAAACCGCACTTTTAAACTCCTAGAATTACTCAAAACATTGTGCATTTTTTAAATAAAATGAAAAGTGAGGGCTTACAGAACTGACTACAAATAATGAGGTTTTCAAAAAGGTGAGCAAAATAAAATTTTAAAGCAGACAAAGACATCTGAAAGCAACCCCCATCTCTGTTTCTGAGAGCACAGCCTCAAGATCAAGTGCACCTCTGAGGAAGCAATGCACAGGCTGCCTGCTCCTTAGGACAGTGAGGCCCAGGTCCAGTTCAGGGCTAAGCAGGCACTCAGCTGGACTTCATCCTCCAAGGATCCCCCTCCAAGCACACCATTAGGTTTCAATTTCAGAGCTGCCAGTGAGCCCAAAGTCCAGCTAAGGGAGCTAAAGTCCCTTTGGGAGTGACTTAGAGCCAGGGAGAAGAAAAAGAAAGGTCTGTTTGGACCTAGGCAAACATGACCCAGCCTTCATTGCTAAGCCAAGAGTCCCTGTTCCAGGGTCAAGCAGTGTTCCTAAATTTCCAAAGAGGACCCCAACCCTGTCAGGCCCATGTAATTCCTGAAACAGCCACAATGCCCAGGGCAAGACATTTAAGATATTTAAGCCAGACAATGCATACCTCTGCAAAAAGCACTGAAAAGCCGGCATGGTCAGGAAGGCCACATTGATGGCACAGCTGCTAGCTGCCCTGTCACCTCTGGAGTACTTTAGCCCAGCCTTCTACTGCACAGGAGACAAAGGCTGAGGTTATACAGCTGACTAGTGCCCTGACCCTGGAGACTAGATTAACTCCTTCACCTCTCAATGGACTTTTGACTGAGACAAAGGCTATCTTTCTTATACAAGATGTTCTGAGGGCTGATTGGAGTGGGGTGGAGCCTGTCAGTGGCAGAGCACCTGCCTGGCATGCACAGGGTTCTAGGCTCCATCTCCAACACTGTATAGGTGGGAAAGGACCCAAGACATTTGTTCTAGACACTTCTATTCTGAACTGACTGCCCTACTAAACTAAGAGTCACCACCTTTTACATAGAGTGATCCCTGGATGTACTGTGAGCTTCACTCACACAGTAGTCTGGCTGACCAAAAATGGGAAATGGCAAGTGCATGGTCTTGAACAAAACTAATGGCAGGTGAGGAGACCACAGCAACCTAGACTCCCCAGACAGGTGACAGTTTGTTGGCCTGGGGAGCTGAAATTCCTTGGGCCCTGCCTTTCTTGTTGACAGATACCCAGCACACAATAGAGAAGTGAGGTGAGAAACTGTCTATGGAGGGTAGGAGCCAGATTGGTCGGGGGGG